ATATTATTAACATCTTCGAAATGCTAAAATATCCTTATGCTATAGCCCAATCTAATGCACTATATCGATCGTAGGAGTTGAGCTGTAGCCGGGCACGTAATCCTATGATTGCATAGTGGTTGTTGAATGGAGAGGATTATGGCGAGAGATGGCCCATTATTATAGGAGCGGTGCGGTATGTAAATGCTAAAGCTAGTCGGATAGGCGGGCAGTGTAGCAGCCATTGGCTACGGCAGCCGCGCTGATCCGCTATAAAAATACCCCCTCGAAGGATTATATAGGGGGGAGGTGTGGGGGGCGAGGTTACCCGCACCGCCGGCTAACTAATTACAAACTGTTGGCACGGTACAACTTCCTAATAATACTTGGTCCCAGACTTTTTTCCAACTCTCTTAGTTATTACTCCAAACTGACTTTTCTTCAATTCCACTTGTTACTTTTTATAACACTATTTATAATGCTTTTAATCTAACTTATCAGACTTCTTTTTTAGTTCTCTATTTTCTTTTGAATTGTTATCACAAGTCGCATTTTATTAACTCCCGACAGTTTTTTTCTTCTTTCTTTAAAAAAAAAAAAAAAAAACTCACTCCCTCCAGGATCTTGTCTCTTCATTTTTTCCTCATCGTTAGATGTCGGAGTTCAGTTTTAATATTTTCTTCCAGTTGAATCATCTAAATATATGATATACTGTTGTCTCCAGTGTTAATGTTTTATTCCGCGGTACGGAATCTTTTTTTTATAAAATTATTAACTTCCGTCTAAAACGCCGTGAATGGCTTCTTCATCTTTTCGTAACCTAAAACTCTATTTTATTGATGAAAATTCTAGAAAATGGGGCATATTCAATCTGAAGATCGGTAAAACACTTGATGGCCCATTCGCCATTTCACTTGAATCGTTAGATAATTTCATCACGATCGAGAAAAAAAGTGGCCTACGAAAATATTGGACTCTGTCTGGCGTCACCTTCATCCCCAACATGTCGAAATAACGAGGCTATTGGCCAAACGGCCCAATGTTTTATTAAATTTTCTTATGATTCGAGTGGAAAACAATTGGGTATTCTTAGAACCTCTTTAAATTCATTAATTTACTGAGAAAACATCCGTTTCTGAGAAATGTTTTAGACAAAAAGATTGTAGGTTATGACAAGATAAAGTCATAAACGAATAAAAAGGGCTCTGTACCAGGAACTGTTGCTAAAAGAGAATTGTCTTTATTGATAAAGATATTATTTCACAAAACAATACCACTTATATTGAGCCTTATACGAATTTCTTAATCAACCAGTATTTCTCAGCGAACGATGCATTATTTTTTAAGATGGGTAATTACAATCTTACTGCTCTTTAGAAGAAGTGTATTCATGTATCTTAGGAGATGAAGAGATTTCTAATTATTAACAATTTACTGTTGTGCTTATTCAATAGTCTCGGTTAAGGGCTTAAATAACTTCAGAAACTTGACGGACTGGCGACGCTTTATTTAACCGTCACCATCTTTCCTATTTATTCCTATTCAAACCTTCTTTAGGTTACAAGCCATTAACGGTATCTTTCACTCAAGCATATGATTTACGCTGATAAATAACATTAAGAAAATAAATTTGAGGAGTCTAAATATAAAATTAAAAAACAAAAAACTTTTAAAATTAGGTCCTTCAACTTTCTCACCCCCTACTTTTTTAAATATTGTTTTTCCTTAGCTTATCAAGTTTAATTAAACTTTAATCCATCCATAAACAGACTGGTAATGTTTGTAGTTAAGATGTGCCAGCTATTTTCGTTATCCCTTCCATAATTTCCCGCATCTTCTAATGTTTCATACGTTAGAGTTCCCTTAATGCCAATTTCCTTGAAGAGTTTTCCTCAATGTGCTCAGTGAAGTTGTGAACATTTATGTTCTTTGATTGATAGTCCGTGGTACAGACTCCTTTTTTATGAAATTATTTACGTCCGGCTGAAACTTCGTAAATAGTTTCATATCTTCGTAACCTACGAATAATTTATTTACGACATTTTTCGCAATTGGGCCGTTTTCAATCCAGAGGTCGGCAAACTTTGTCTATTTAATAAGGTACTAAAAACTCGTAAATACCCATTTGCTTTAGTCGAGAAAAAAAGTGGCCTTAAAAAATATTGAGCTGTTTGACCTATATAACCTCCTTATTTTGACAATTTGGGGATGTAGGTCACGCCCAACGGCTCAATATTTTTTATGGCCACTTTCTTTCTAGTCTTTGTGCTCAAGTTATCTTACGATCGAAGTGGAAAGCAAATGGGTAATAAAGAGTTTTTAGTAACTAATTAAATAGACGAAGTTTGCCGATCTCCATTTTGAAAACGCCCCAATTCCGAGAATTTCCGTAAATAAAATATTTGTAGGTTACGAAGTTTCAGCCGGATGTTAATAATTTCATAAAAAGGGGTTTGTACCACGCACTATGACTTCTTTTGTCAATAATATAAAATAATAATAATAATGTAAAAATCTTGTATTAATATAATACTCCATAATGGAATTCGTTCATATTATATTGGTCCAGGTAGCTATTTATATAATAATAATAAAGAGGGAAGAACGTTAGATCAACAAGTGGTAGTAGACAAGATTTTAATGACGGAGCGTCTATCGATACCAATACAGGGCTAATCCAATTTGGCTGGGATGGGAGGGTCTTTATCCCCACTTCTTTTCTATTTAATTCCGCTTAATGGTGTCCTCTTTGTCCTCTGCTGAGCCTTAAACTGTTCCTTATCCTTCTTCATTCCTCAAATGCCTTTATTCCAATGACACTTTAATTCTTTTTCTCTCGCTTGTATATCCCATCCTGTTTTTACTCAATCTACAGAGCCTTTGTAGCCTTGCCAGTTTTTTCCCGAATACTTGTCCTGGAATTTATCCTCTGTTGCTCCCTTCTCTTCCTTTCCTTAGAAATTTTCTGTCAAGGGTGATTGTTTTTTCCAGATCCATCTTCCATTTATACTTCTTTCACAAAAAAATCCGTTTTAGCTTATTGTCTTTCATTTGCTAGAAACCTTTTTGAACAGTTCGGCTAATCCTTTTTTTCCTCCCTTAATATCAGGATGTAAACAAACGACTTAATTAAATAGATAAATTTGTAGGCGTCGTAAAGTAAGTAGTACAATTAGATAAAATATAATGATCAGTTCAGAGGAAAATTTGACTGTTTTCAAGAAACATTTGTTAGGCCATAAATTATGGCTTCTTAGAAGTAAGCTTTTCAATAGGGTTTCTGCGGAGTTGAAATAAGAAAACAACTAATGAAGTACTTTTTTTTTGCATACATACTTTTTGGACAACATGATTTGTCTTTAAAGTTAATATAAAAGTAAGATTCGTTTATATATATTTAATCAGTTGATTGAATATTTCCAATTCAAAGTGCTACTGGAACACAATACTCTTCCATTAAACCTCTATGAATTACTTAGGTTGTTCTTCTTTTTCTTTTTTAATTTGCTCATTCGAGCTTTTCTGGCTGAAGTTGGGCTCTTTGCCCAGCATGGATTGGCGTTTCGTTTCAGGATCATAAATAAAAAGCTATGATTCCTAAATCTGCCTTAAAAGGAACATGATTTGGTTTAGTTGAAGCTGTGGAACAGAAAGCGGCACGTATCTCCAACAAGCTCACAGGAGAAGACGACAATGAAAGATTCGCATGATGCGTTATAGGAATGGTGGAGAGATGTATATTGAAGGTGATAATAAGGAAATATGGTGGAAATGAAAATAAAATGTTTTACTGCATCACTCTCAATATTCAATATGATAATATGTTACCTATTTTTACACGTAGTCTACTTTCCATTATTTTTTTTTATATGAAAAAGTGATTAACAAACCACCAATTGATTGATTAAATATATAATTAGAACATTTTGATTTTCTTTAAGTTTTTTATCAGTTGTTATATATTACTTGTGTTACTTTCTCTCAGTGGATAAGCAGGTAATGGAATGATAAGGTATTGATTCCATATAATTTCGAAAATTCGAGTTGGATTTCACTTGATCCTTGTTACCTGGGCAATAATCGATTGTGAAGCGAACCTATCGATGAGGAGAGCGGGTATTTAGTTAATTATTCAAATAAAGCTGCGGTTATGGAGGGAGGGAGGAGACTATTTGATTAGCCCCGAAGCCAATAATATCACTTATCGGAGGACATTAATTTAGCTAGGGCTCTTTGTAGGCCCGTTTATCTTTGCAATATAAACATGGCGGGTCATTAGCTAAAGCCGGCCTTTTCCACTTATAAACAAGGACACTTATTTGTTGGAGGAATTTTAAGCTTTAATCCTATTTCATTTCGTACATTTCATTGTTTGTTTCCCTTTTAAATGCCTGTTGTGGTTTTGTATTAGCGGGCTGAAGTGTGGGGTCTACAATAAATACGGTAATTACTTCCTCCATAATCCTTCATTAGTTTTATTTTGTTCGTTTTTTTTTTTTTTTTTTTACTGAATAAAAGTTTATTATTACTAATATTATCTCTATTACAATGGAGCTCATACATTCCTGGCACCTCTTGCTAGATCGTATTCGCCCACTTCACTACTGGTTACTTATAAGTAAAGTCTGTCGGACGGTGCACTGCATCGATCTATTGAAATTTAAGTCCTCCACTTCTGGACCACCATCAACTACCTAGACTATGAATTCCCATGATGGGAATCCAAAGCAATGCTGGAGTGCCCATAAGTTTCCCCTAAATGAAATACTAAGATATTTCAATGGTTGAAATCTCCATCTTTTTGTCAAGATTTCCTTCTATAATTTTATATAATATTCTTTTTTTAAAATATTTACATGATGAAATTCACAAAAAAATACATATGGATTCACGCATGTTAAATTTTACGATATTAATATCTTGGATGTGACGTTTACCATAATTTTTTGTTAACTTTTTCATAAACCTCCGTAGAGGCCTCAGGTTATTCGTTAGCAGAACGGCTCGTTAATGAAACATTCATGGCCATAATACCGGCGGTGGTTATATATTAATGTTTTAGAGAGCTTTGTAATTAATATTGCTAATTATTCATATGCAAAAGTTTGCTCATGAAGTAATTTGAAGCCCAGTTCATTATAATTTTACCAGTCATCAGAAGTTTTGCTGTCGGTTATTGAAAGCAATTTAATGGATTGTTAATAAAGTATGTTAATACATTGAATACGTAGCTATCCGCCATATTTTTTATGTTACACGGTAAATTGATTTAGGCGAGTTGGTTTAATTGTTTCAATTATTTTTTTAATGTAATCAACAATTTTTTTTATTTATTTATTGAATTTGATTATTAGACTATGGCTTTAATTAGTAATTCTCAGAACATTTCATCACAAAATATAAATAAAAACCTCTGGTCTGTACTGTGTTATCGTAGTTAATAATGGAACGTTTTTATTTTATTTATTGGTTTTTAATTCATTACTTCTGAATCAAATTAAATTTTTTACATGAGTAATATAATATTATGGTTATTGAAATTAATGACGTGATTTAATCATAACTAACTTTTCAGTATCGAAGATACCCTGTATAATGTGATATCTTAAAGTATTTGGGGTAATTATTTAGAAGAGGACCGGCTCAGGTTACAGATCGCAGCCGGTTTATCTGAAAGACAGTTTTCAGCGTTTCATGAACAAGTGTGACCGAAGTGATTGTGAACCATACATAACCCGTACGGTCCTCATCTAAATAATGACGGCATTTCGTATCTCCTAATAGGTAATCGCTACTACCGTTTTTAACTTTTTTAATTTATCATTATTTTGTCTCTGATTTCGTATTTCAAAGTCATATAATCGAAAGTATAACGTATCGTTTTCATATAAATTCAAGCATTTATCCTTTCCATACATCGATAACGTTATTGTGACCACCGGTAATAGCACTAACCAAAAATATTTAATATCATAAAATTATAAATCAAAATCAATTTCGAGACTATCCCTTTCCAGAATCAGTGACCTGTATTAATATTTTCTGTAATCTTCTTTCGGTAGAATATACTTATAAATGATAATTCAACACCCAGCGTTGAAAACTTCGATTTTTTTCCTATTAACTATACCATTTCTCGTGTTTCCATAACTTTCTTCCCTAGAATACTGTGTTTATACCATACAATACGTATAATACACTACTTCCTTATAACTTAATTGACATGTGATAGGTTTATGATATACCGTGGAGGTTGTATATTTGAGAAGAGTATTTCCTTATATTAAGTTAATACAGGAGAGGGGTGGAATTGGAGTTAAGTACAAGGTCGGGTTGCCCAATAAGAGGCAAGGAGAAACTCGCAGAATAGGATACTTGAGCTTTTTCCTTACGTCTTATAGCAATCACAATTGCAACTATTCTATACTAATGTTATAAAATAAATACTCCACCATGACACACACACATTGTTATTTTTAAAAACTACTAATAAATACACTATAACTCTATAATTTAGTTTATTTGAACTAATGTCACAAATTTCAATTACATTATTATTTTTTATCTAATTGTTAATATATTCGTTAATATATATATTTTTTTCTTTCAGATTTTCTCGAGGTACGGAAAAGTCCTGAAAATCGTAACCTTCACTAAAAACAGTAAGTTCACATTTAATATTATTATTTTCATTTTTGCAATTTTACTTTTGCTCTTTGATGAACAAACGAAATTTATGACCTAATTGCCTGTTTATGGATTCTTGGTTTACGACCAAGCTATATAACTGCAGAGTAATTTCGTGGTGCCATAACAAATTGCTTGTTCCGGAATGTTCTACTATGTACTTTAAAGTTTCTTGTTTACATCAATGCCATAGTCCACAGAATTTATTTATTATCTATTACCCAGAGTATATGAATGTTATGTCAGACAAATTATCTTTTTATTACAACTATATTAACTGGTACAAATATACATCTGTATTTAAAAACAAATCATATTATATTATATTGTATTACGTCAGAAAAATATGATAACTTTGGGTACAAAGGTGCAATTCAATGATTAAAAAGCTACAATATTATTTTAGTTCTTTTTATTTAAAATATACCAAGTCCTTATGTGTTTTTTTCTCAATAAACTGTGTAAAAAAAAGCTCGACATCTCATTTTGAAGAATCATGATTCTTTCAGTTCTTAATGAATCCTTAGAGACTAAAGAAATCCTCTGAATGGACAAACCATGCCCCTTGAAATGGATATTATTAAAAGGCAATGAATTAGTATTCAAATCAATGATAGAAACTTAAAAACTGTATTGAATTTAAAAGTTTTATATTTATTTGAAATTCTTTGAACTAAAAAATGTTGTAAAGAAATTTATTGGTTCACTTTTATCTGAGGATTATACGTTTTTGTATTTTGTTAGTTTTACTATCAGTAATCAATCAGTTTAAAAATATTTTCCATCATAACATTTATTTTACATGTTATGATTAAGTATTAGTAAAGTGATAAATAGAAAAAGGCTTTCTGTCTGTTTTATCTATTTTACTTTTATTTGTTTAATTCAGTTTTTTTTTTGTATAGGAATTCCAAAAAGATTAAGAATTGTCAATTTCACTAAATCTAGATTTTTAGACCTTAACAATGTTCCTTATATCAAATTCATATAAATAACCATCTCTAAATAAGACAAAGTATTTCTGTCAAGTGGCAGCTCGTTTTTAATTAAAAATTAAAATCACAAAAATAATCATGACGTGTAATATTGTTAATAATCGATTAGTAAAATAATTAGTGTAATTGAATCTACATAAAACTTTTTCTTTGGTTTGTAAGTGACCTTTTGTGCTTCAATATTTAAATGAAGTTATAAATTCAAGTATTACTCAATTACTTGTGTAAGTTTTGAATCTGTAAAAACTACATGCGAGTATTTAAGTGCTTGAAATTATTTTTATTACTCCTGTTTTTTCAATATTTCTTCTTCTTTCTTTATGCCCATCAGGAATAATTTAAGATCACTTTTCTATTGATCATGGTCCCCTACCATTCTACCTCCCTATATTTTAATTATTTGTAGTGAATTATTTTTGTATTTTTAACTTTATCTGGCATGATGGATGATAACTTTTTGCTTTTAAAATTTTAAGTTTAAAAACTAGATTTAACAAAACAACCTTCCACTACAATTGTGTAAAATATATTCTTTGTAGTAACATATGTTAATGTAAAGATTTCTATTTAATTACTGAGTACTTATACAAAGCATGTCTGGCAAGTAAGATTACGGTTTTCGCAGTGTGAGAATATTTTATTTCAAAATTTGCCCACATTCAGCATTTTCTTGAAAACAACAGGCATGAGCGACACTTATTAGTACCAAAACTTGCCTCATAGTGTCCGTATCTGTGAAATATGTCAATAAGAAACCCTACCAATTGTTAAATGCACGCTGATTTTCTGATCTTCATAAACAAGGGTGAGACAAAAAGGCAGTCATCACGTTTGGTTATGAGGTTTAGAACCACCCTGCATATGCTTCTGTCATGAAGCCATCCGATTTTCATCTTTCCATCTTCCTCAAGACTCACATGGATGGGAAAAATTTCAACTGATCAGGAGTTTATGTAAGAAGAGGTCTTGAAGTAGAAAAAGAAAATGGTGGGAGAGTTCTATGAGGTGGACATCACAATGCTTGTCCAAGGCCAAAAGTTTTTTATAAAATAGAGAAATAAAGTAGTCTTACTTTCTGGACGTGCCTCCAATCACTAATATCTCTTAAAATCTTGTTTAGCAAAATTAGATAAAAAATTTTTGATTCTGTTGATGATTTAACCGATTGTTTTATTTTCAGACTCTTTTCAAGTTCTGGTTCAATATCATGATGTGGTTTCCGCCCAGGCAGCAAAAGTTGTAAGTTTTTTATACACCTATAATTAATGCTAGATTTAAGTTTTTCATGAATTACTAGTTTAATGTGATTTATGACTTCTTGTTATTTTTTTTTTTAAAAGTCGAACATTGATATAATTAAATTCTGCGGCTTGATATAGCCTTGATCCAATGTTTTTCTTTTATTTTGTACAGTCACTGGATGGACAGAATATATACAACTCCTGTTGCACCCTGAGGATTGAATACTCCAAGCTGACATCGCTTAATGTGAAGTACAACAATGACAAATCAAGAGATTATACTAATCCATCACTTCCGAACGGTGAGGGGGCTCTGGAAGCTGCACTGGGAGCTGAGCAAGTTTTACCTGGTCTGATCCTCAATGCAGCAGCCAATCCTCTGAGGAGGGCCTTCCATGAGCCTAGGATACCTGGTAATTACTAACAACATTATATATATATTGGAGATTGAAGACCACTAAAAAATGATTCAATTAGAGAACTTGTATGTCTAAATAATGCCCAATATTCTTGCAGGGCTTAATTTATGTTTAGTTTTCATAAAGAGGTAGTAAAACAAATTAAGTAGTATTGAACTGAACTGATAAGGAAACTTTTCAGAAATAGTTGTGAAGTATGAACTGGAGTTGAATTAAATTATAATCTTCTCTTATAAATTTGTACTGTGATATGGTGATATCTAGTTTTGCTTAGTGTGATTATAAATCAGAAGTTTTTTTTTGTAACTAAAAAAATATTCTTTTAAAATAAGAATTATTAATATATAATATTAAGAATTATATTCTTCAAAATTGAACTTTTTTAAAAAGTGACATTACTTTAATTATTACAGATCAGTAATATTTCTATGTTATTAATTAACATTTTCAGGAGCTCAGGGAGTGCTCGCTTCACCTTTCGGACCATTGCACGGGCTTGCTTCACCTTTGGCCGCACCTTTCACTCCAGGTTCTCCTGTTACTGGTAATTCATGATTTTTGTTGTTTTTTTTTAGAACTTAGGGTTAATATCAGAATATTTTATTATTTTCTTATCCTCATACCACTACTTTACTACTAACATCTAATAATTTATTAAGTTGTTTCTTATTCTGTGAAAGAAAGATTATCATTAAATTAGATTATATCAGATTTAGAATAATTTATTTATTTAACTATGATTTGTTTTTAAATATTGATTGATTATCATCAATTTAACTATAGGTAAAATTCTAGGGCTGCCCCTAACCGCCACTGGGTTCACATTGCCCAGTAACGCAGCCACTGCCCTGGCAGCTCAGGGGGCGATGAGGATTCCTGGCCAGATACCATCAAATACATGCGTTCTTCTCGTCTCTAATCTAAATGAGGAGGTAAGAACCAACTTTATTTATTTATATACCATAAATATCTGAATTTAAGTTTTTGTGACAAAGGTAACTTTGAAGTTTATTTTCTTCTCTGGTTTCAATATCTACTTTTTTCTTTATGTATTTGGCTTGCTGTCAAGTCAAGCCTAGTTTCATATGACATAGTTTCGTTAGTGGATTTTTAAAATTATTTATATTTTAAAATTATTTATAGATTATCAGTATTCAACGCCATATAATTTCAGAATCAATCAATTTTATATTTAAATAAAAAGTACTTATTTTCTATTTTTAGAGGGTTTTATTATTATTTAAATTTATTTATTATTGTTTCCCCTTTCAATATTTTTATGATAAGACGTAGGTTTGAGCCTTTTAATACTTAAGGATACATTTTTTAAAATAAATTTGCTAACTTTAAATAAATATAGTGAGTCAAGAATTTCATTTCTTATTTGGTTTACTGTATATCGATTTGTTTTTGTTAATAAGCTTTAAAACTAATATTAGCCCTACCAATCATCATTCACTTGGTGTAATTAACCGTATTGAGTGAATACCCCCTTTAACCAACTGCAGATTTACTTGTCTGTGGTATTAATTTTCTAATTGGCTGAAACTTGTTTAGTGATTTTTTGCTTGGTAACAGCAAGTAAGTTCTATGTACTTGATAAGTAAGTACAACATTGTTTCATGAGCAAGAATCATGCAAAATGGAGGATCTAGCCAGGATCATAGTCAGTTGTCAGATTTTCTTCCTTCCATATTAAATGCCGGATATGATGGATCAAGAATCACTTTTTATAAGCAGATTGTATCCTAGTTAGTCCTCCCAAAGCTTTAGTTACATAAAGCAGAAAATTTTAATTTCTTCTTAAAAGAAATCTGAAATTTCCTTTTGCAATCATGAAACATCCAATTTCCAATTAATTTTCAACAACTAAATATTAATTTAGTTTTGTTTTGTAAGTTAATTTAAAAAAAAAGATACATTTAATTAATACATTTCTGGTGATTAATTTATTCTGAATGGTCTTTATGATATTTTTTGTGGAAGAGGAGCATGCCTGATATAAATAATCAATTTGTATTGATTTATTCATGTGCATTAACCACCTGATTAATTTTAATAATAATAATCTTTATTTATTCTGGAACAAGTCCCTTTAGAATGATACAATTGTAGGCTTTAGAGCCTCACAGTTTAATTGAAATAAAATAAAATAAACAAATAGAAATTAAAAAATATACATTGATCCACTTCTAACATTGATGAATTAGGAATAAAAAAAAGCTAATAATTTGTATACGTATTTATTGAAAAGACGGGATTTAAAGGTGGGTAGATTATTGGAATTACCAATATAAAAGGGGATCGAAGTCCATAGGGATGAGGATAGGATAATGGAAAGATCTGACAAATGCTGCGTTTGATGGGCTATAGTATATAGATCTGAAATCCTTTGATTTTTATGGTAACAAAGCAAATGATTATCTACTTGTTTATTGTTCAGTTTGATTTGTATATATTTTTTATCACTACATTTTTCCTTTTTTATTTTAGGTGTATTTAACTTGAATATTTAATTTTAGTGGGTCATTAGTTTTACATAAATTCTTCCTCCTTCCAAGTAGTAGAATACAGTATTAGATATAGTTTTTTTCCTTATTAGTTATGTAATGATATAGGAAGCTTTTTCTCTGCTTGATAGAAGACTGTCAGTTAACCTCCTACTAAGTTACATTTACAGCTAGCTAAAAACTTACAACTGATGTTCTATTTCTTATCTGTTTTCATGGAAGATCTGGTGTCATCTAGCTGCTTACCAGGTGTAGTGGTTTTTATCTAACATCGATTAATTAAAATTTTTGATGACGCAACGCCTAGCTCTTTCATGAAAACAGTTAACTTTACTTCATTTTAACTCTGAAGAGTTCTTGGTCTGATATGTTTCTACCTGTGCTTGATTTGAGTTAACAAACAGAGTCTAATAATGTAGTGGGTAATGTCAGCACAGGTATCAACATATATTGATCTCTTGCCTTTTTTTAGAAAAAAAAATCTACATAAAACATTATCTAATCTCTACAATTTTTGTTTCTCTCTTTTCATTCCCTGCTCTCCCCACTCACTATCCTGCCATCTGCGCACACTCTTATCTTCTCTAAATGTGTGCGCATTAACACTGAAGTTGGTTACTACGGACGCTCTCTTCACACTCTTTGGTACGTTCATTTTTCATTGTTCACACTTTTTTTTTATGTTATGTTTATGCTTTTTAAATATTGTTTAAATACTTACTAAACTTATGTTTCTCTTTTTTTAGAAGTTTTTTATGCTTATATTGCTCTATGGAGATATTTTTTTTTTTTTTTTATCTTTGCTCTTTAAGATCAAAGTCATTTTATTTTATATATCTTCTTTTTCTTTACAACCTGCAAGTTATTATCTTTAGTAGTAATTTCTGAAATGCTTCTTAATTATTTTTTATTTTCACAAAGCCTCATTTAATTTAACTTTTTCTTAATTATGTGTTCCATTTACGTAGAGTAACTTTTTTTTCTTGCTTTACTGTATATTTCTAATTTTCAAAACACAAAATTACTACTGATTCCAAAACAGAAGATTACAATTTTTTTATTCTACTCTACCCTATTATGTGTATTGCTTGTATATATTTCTTTTTGGGATATTATAATTATTTTCTTTTTTTTCTTAATTTTTTTCAATACACTATCAGTTAAAAATAATTTTACTCTTCTCTCAACTGCAACACCATGTCTAAATTAATTTGTTAACAAAGATAGACTTAAACTCACATTCGCATTACTCTTTATTTTAAGGAATTATCTATTGATAAACGTTAGTAATAGTAAAAAAAAAAAAAAAGGTTTCTCCGAAAATCTTTTTATTGAAGTCTTCATTATGTTATCTGATTATCTATTATTATAATTTTTTTGTTAATGGTTTCAATATGTCATTATTGGTTTAGGGGTCTATGGAGATGTTCAACGTGTGAAAATCCTTTACAATAAGAAGGACAGTGCACTTATCCAAATGGCTGAACCTCACCAGGCTAATCTTGGTAATTTTTTCTTTCTTTTTTTTAAAACATCAGCACATATTGTTAAACTATAATAATTGTATCTTAAATATTTTTTTCTGAGAGGCAAATAACTTATTAGATGAAAAAATAATTTTGATCTTGTTTTTGCTAAGAATACAATGAATTTGGGCCATGACTGTAAAGTACATCATTGTCATTTTTTTCCTCCTACTTTGCTTTTAAATGCTCCTATCCACTTTTAATTAAAATTGTGATCAAATTAAGTACTATGTTTTACTGTATATTTATTTTGAATCTTATTTAGTTCAAGTATCTTTCATGTTTCAGAAATACTCTTCTTAGATTATAGATAGATTTATTTTTCGCTGAAATTAATGATAATATTTTTCATTATGTTGTACTGTCATTGTAGGTATTGTATTTTACTCTTTTTTTTGTGTGTGTTTTTATATATATATATATATATATATATATATATATATATATATATATATATATAAAATGTAAGATAACATCGGGAGAATTTCAAAGTAACTATTACTTGTTGTAGCCATGATGCACTTGGACAAAGTACGTCTACATGGAAAGCAGATGAGAGTGATGTCTTCGAAACATCAAACTGTTCAGTTGCCAAAGGAGGGTCAACCTGATGCTGGACTCACCAAAGACTACACTTCATCCAATCTACATAGGTTTAAGAAACCTGGGTCAAAGAACTACCAGAACATTTACCCTCCGTCTGCCACCCTCCACCTCTCTAACATTCCGTAAGTATTCAATAGTTTAAAGGTTTTTCACTTATTCTCTTTCTTTTTGCTAAGAATTCAGTTAATGTGTCAATTTATATGTTTTTATACATTTTCTTGTTTTATTATTTCAGACCAAATGTAAAAGAAGAGGATCTGAAAGATGCATTTCAAAATAATGCTTTTACTGTCAAGGGCTTCAAATTCTTCCCGTAAGCTTTGTATATATTTTTTAAACAATTTTATTTATATTGGATTCATTTATTATCTCAAATATCTAATTCTCGCTTTAAAAAAAAAATTAATTCATGTATGGAAATAAATATGTCAAATGTTATATAAAATCTGGGATCTCTATTTTTAAATTAGATGTTTTATGATTAGCATTCCTGAATGAATTCACAGTAATGGTTTTACTTGAAATTCTTGTTAATTATGATGGAAGTTTAAATTGATATTCTTATTGTTTCTGAACACATTCTAGTGCCGTTCACTAAATAAACGCTGTAACAATTAAGATGAAAGTTTTTTTTTAAAAGTCTTATTTGGAATAGACTGCATAATTTTTATAGCTGTAGAATATTATTTTCTGAAAAAAGAAGAAAAAAATCTTTATGAAAAGAAGTGTTTATTCATTTTTTATATAATGCTCCCCTCACTTTTTTTTTCCAAATAAGTTAGTAGTCTTTTAAAATAGTAAGCAGTAATTTGTTTCTTCTTTAAGATGAACTAAAGTCAGTTTAATCTTATTCTGTAGAAAATAGATAGATTAGAAAATTGCGGATGTAAGTCAGTGCTAAGTTGTTTTTCAATATCTATGTAACAGGATTTTTAAAAAAACAATTCAAAAATTTTTAAATTCCAAATTTTCTTTATTATTTTACCTATCTATATTTTGGTTTTTAAGAGTCTGGTATAGCAGAGTTAATTGCACTAGTAAAATGAAGATGATAGGATCAGATCAAATCCCGGTTCTTACTTCCCAGTACGGCTGGCACCTACAGGAAGTTAGACTATACCCCCTTAATTAGGGAAGACCTACAAGTTGAAAATATAATTATAAAAACCAAAATTTTTTTTGGTTTTGTTTTTAAACCTGCACTAAATTTTATATTATTAACCAGTTTGTTTTTTTCTTGATCTTTAAATATAATTCTGCAATACAACTCTTTTCTTCTTAATAAAATTCATATATTTGAATAATTAATTTTCATGAGTGATAAATATTCAGGACGCAGTCATTATAAAGTTTTTATTAGTGTCGATGTTTCAACCCAAACATGTGGGTCATCATCAGGGTGTGGTTTGAGCACTGAAGGTACTCACGTACTCATGTTCTCGTGAGTACTTGAATACCTTCAGAACCACGCCGTGATGATGACCCACATGTTTGGGTTGAAACGTCGGCACTAATAAAAACCTTATAATGACTGTGCCCTGAATATTTACCACCCATGATATGCAGAACAGTTAACTAACATCCTTCAATAATTAATTTTCCATAAATATTCTCTTACCCCGCAATTCCAGGAAAATATAAAAGAATATATAAGAAATACGTAAATAATATAATCCATTTTTCTTTTCTATTTTATTTAGTTCTGAGAAATACGCTTTAATTATTCTAAAGCTTACAAATCTAACCTAAAAATAAAAACACACGTAGACAATTTAATTAGTAAAAATGATTATAATTAAAACCAAATGGAAAGGTGAAACTTTTTTCCTGAAGCAATACAATATAAGGCTGGTCTTCAGTACTATTTTTGACTCTTCTCCCAAATGATTATAATTAAAATCAAATGGAAAGGTGAAACTGTTTCCTTGAACTATTTTTGACTCTTATCCTGAGAACTTAGCCACTAAAACCTAAAGACGTTGACGTTCTGATCTTGGATTACTTTCTGATTGGAACTGTACCCATGGTTGAAACCGTTCCGCCTGGCCCATCCCTAATTGCTACATAGTAATTTGTTTTAAGCTTAATATATGCATAGCCAACATAAATTAATGGATCTAAGATATTAGTGGATAAGTGTAATTACATATGTGAATTTACATTTTTATGATTTAAATTATTATTTGACATATTTTTTTAGGAAAGACAAGAAAATGGCACTTCTGGAGCTTCCAAGCATTGATGATGCTGTTGCTGCACTAATTGTAAGGTTTTACAATTCCTTTTAAAAATTAATTCATTTTATTTATCATTTTTTTAATTGGCAATTACCATTAATTATTTTATTTAATTTTTTTTTTCAGAAAATGCACAACTACCAATTGAGTGAACAAAACCACTTAAGGGTATCATTTTCCAAATCAAATATTCAATCTGCTGCAATGCGTTAATTTTAATTTGAACAATATTATATGCATACTAAGCTGTTATCAGATTAAAGTAAAAAAATTCCAAAAAAAAAAAATTAAAAAAAATTGTAACGGATACAACGGACTCAAGGCCTAGAGAAACGGGTCGATTTTTGTTTAATTTTTATTAAATTAAATGATTAGATTTAATCATTGTAATTTTTTATAATTAGTACATAGTATATTTATATATAATGGTTATCAGTATTCTCCTTATTTTTGTATTGTGAACTTATTTTTTCTCTTTTTCGGTCGTTATTTTTGCCTAATGGTGTTTACTTGCCTGCATGGTATACATTAAACAAGTAAATAGCCGGCCTATATAAGTTTATTCAATCGAATGTTAACATATCTTAAAAAATATGTATATTGTCTATTTATTTATAAACATGTAATATCAGACAAATCAGGGCAAGCACCTGACCAAAAAATGAGAGAAAACTATTTGTTAGCTTGTAGTGTTTGCCTAGTATTATATTTTATAGCTTAGGCTGTTTCCTTTTAGAATCTCTTAGTATTTTTTATTTTTATTTGAAATAGTTAAAAATAATTAAAATTCATGTTTTTATATAAATAAGTTTTTATTAGTTTGATTAGGTTTACACATTGATATCTTGTTGTCGATTTTAAATATTGTAATTTAATGTGATTTTTTATTTAATATTGATATGATCTGAAAGGGAAGAGATTTTTTTTTCTGCCCGTTCTACAGTATTGTGAGCTTTTTAATATTTAAAAGGGGGGGTTGGGGATATGAAAGATATTGTTGGGATCGCAAATGAAATCCGACGGCTACAGTATTGGCCTGTATTCTAAGGGAATAATCTTCTTTAAAAGCCATTGAATTTCCTCATATATGTATTTTTTAAAATATTAAAATCATAAGTCTGCAAATATATCTTCCTATGTAGACCATATACACGTAGTTGATACGAAGGGGACCTAAAGAGAAATACTTATAAATTCTGTCTATTTATTTTATATCTTTTGTATTTTTCTGTCTTTCTCTCCTCTTTTCTCTCTACTATTTTTTTATACATACCTTTTACACATAATCACATTAAATATATAGAATAAATAATATTTATTAGATTAAAAGTATATATTATATATATTTCATACAGTGGGCTAAAAGTTTCTCTCTCCTGACAATCAAATTTTCAGAGAGTTTTCATCGTCGAATGAAATAATCTATTTATTATAAAACTATATTATGGACTGGAATATTTAAAGTTAACTTTAAAAATCTTCTAAAAAAACTTAAATTTTAGGAAATCACATATATTTAGCTTAGTAATTGTGATGCAGATATATTGAAATTTCGTACAGTAATCAGCGAAGAATATTTTTAATTTTTTTTTTTCAATTTATGAATTGTCCTTTTTTACGCTTGTTTTATTTTTATCTGAAAAAGAGAAACCACAATTTTTATCAGTATTCTCTCTATTTTTATTTTTTCAGTTTTGATTTTTACATAGTGAGTATCTATGTATGTGAACAAGCATATTCACACATATGTGCTTATTATGGAATATTTGCTATTGTAAGATGAGTAGTTTTAAATCCCCCCTTATTTTTAGTCTTTTAGAGAATGAATTTTAAAAATTGATGTACAATTTATTTTATAAGTTTGCTTGGTTACTTGGAATGATGTAGATATTTTATATTTATATGTTAAGAAGAAAAATGAATGCTTCCAAACCTGATTATTGTAGATTATCAATATGTAAGCATGTAGTGAGTTTGCATTTTTTGTGCCTTTTTTTAAATTGTTTTTTATTTTATATTATGCTTATTATTATTTTTTTTAATGTCAATTAAATCTACATAATGTGTATTACATGATATATTGTTAGGGTGGGAATAAATCTGGACCAAAAAAAGTAAACTCGTTTTTTAAACATATCTGTTTTTAATGCAGTCACAAGGCTGTTTGTTGTGTTTTAAAGATGATTTAACCAATAATAAATTGTGCCAACGTGAGGGAGAGATTATTATCTGTTTGTTTGTTTTATCGATTCAATATTTTAGCTATTCCTCTCTCTTGATATTAAAGGCAGGGTAAAGAACTATTTATATATAAAATCATATGTTGCACAATGTACTAAGCTGGCTAAGTTACGATATCATATGAAGCATAAAAGAATGTTCACTCATCTATCTCTTTGTTTTCATTTAGTTGTGAAAAACCTCATTATGCTAGGGTATATATACACATTTAAATTAATAATGGCGTATAACTATTTATTTATACCTAAACAGTGACATTTGTTTATCCTGTAGAATTTTTTGAACAAATATAGGTAATACATTTTTTTTATTTGTTTTATTTTCCTGATTTTTCCCTCTAGATTCTTTAAGTATATAGATATATTCCTTATATTTTTCCTTCATTTTTATTAAGTAATATGACATTATAACGCACAATTAAATGTTTTTATATTATCGGCTGATTAATACAGTCCACTTTGGCACAATCGTGATAGATAAAGTGAATGTTAGTTGTGTGATTCGCAGTTGACTTGTACATTGAACTAATATGGGAACAAAATAGTTTTTAATTTATTTTTTGTTATGTATTGATAATATAGGTAAAAATTATAGTACTAATCATATTATACTTTTCAATTTTGTTTTTCTTCAAATAGAAACCTAGAAACAAATATATATATATATTATATATGTCTAGTATTAGGACTCTTATCATAGCTGTTAGTTGCTGATCGCTTTTGGTATTGTCTGTTACTTTTTTCTTCTTTTTTTTTATTGTTTTAACCAAAAGCAAAGTTTAAGCACATATGTCAATTTTTTATACTAAGTCCCTCACGCCACTAGACAATCCCAGACAATATGGAAGGATCTTGAATAATGAACTTTTAGGATAGCTGTGCTTTAGGTTAGGGTAGGGTTTTAAATATCCATTTTTGTAGAAGTAGATAGCACTTGTTATGTTCTGCTGCTATAGTGAATGTAAATGATGGTAACTTAGTGTGTAGATATTTTTTAATTTATAATTTATTTTAAATTTATGTCGTTTGTATGAAATGGATGTAACAGACCTAGTTATTATACTGTTGCTGTAGATAATCACTGTTCTATTTCACAACTTTACAGGGATTCGTATCATCTAGTATGCATGTATATGAATGTATGTGATATAAAAGCTGCCTGCTATTAGAATAATTCTCTTCTTGTCTATAAGCAATAATTTATAGCTGTCGAAATTATATTCAGTTTTTTAATTTGTTTATTAATATTTTATAATGGCTGCAAAGTTAGGATTTTCCTTTTATCAAATATTTGAAATATTCAAATTATTTCATTTTAGTTGGAAAAACAATTCAAAGTTGTCATTCCTGTCATAGTTTTTAATTATTAACAAATCTATTTTCTTGATATGAAAAGCTCTGGAAAATAATTATTTATGGTTACAATGATATTATAACTTATCTTAAAAATAAAATAAACATGGGCTGATTATGCTAAAAATGTTAGTAATCAATGTGGTATGTAGAATTTTGAGAATATCACCAATCATGTTTTTACTGGTTTATATCAATGAAACAACTTGGGTTTTGAATGAAAGATTTAATGAATAGACAGCCTTAGGATCTAATCATGTCATTTTAGGTTTGAATGCAGCTCTATGGAAGGATGTTCATTTTTAAGCAATACTCTTTGATGGTATGGGAATTGAGCTTCTGTCTTTGCTGGGAATTTTTATTACTATTTTATACTAAAAAAACATTCACTGTATGTTAAATGTGAAGTATCTAACATACTACCATAGCTCTGGGTTTTAACTTGACATGCCATTTGACAGATTTTGTTACTTAAATAGTCACACCTGAAAATATTACCACATATATTTATAGTTGAGAAATTAAAATGATATAATTTAAAATTAATTTTAAAAATTATTATAATAAGCAGTCAATCACATAGGCTGAAAACATACAAATATTTATGGCTTGCACAAGGCCATTTTGATATATTCTACGTGTATTAGCTGTTTCAGCATTAAGCTGTCATTTTATACAATATCTTAGTATTATAAGTAACATTGTAGTATACTGTAAATGTGAGATATAATGTCATTTTAAAAATATAAATAAAATTCTATCGATAACAGTAAATGTTACATGTTTAGAATTAGATTCCATATTGATGAGTGTTAAAGACTCTATTATGTGTTACTAGTATCTTAGATGAGGTATGTTAACCACATTATTTTTAAACTAAGAAACAATGCTTGTTTACTGTAGTATGTTCCTGGCTTATGGGATCAAACCTTTTGGCCCTTCACATTGAAAACGTCATAGTAAAATTTCGGGTACTTTGTTCAAAGAAACAAAATTAGGAGGATTTATTAAACAGAAAATTAATCTATCAGTTCTTACAGTATTTAATTTTATTTTGTTTAGGTGATTAGGTATTATTTTATATCTTAGCAAAGTGTGTAAGCATGATTTTGGTTTCTTAATTGTTTTTCCTTTTAGTTGACCCTACCCAAATATTTCATCATTGGTTTCTTATTATTATTATTTCATCTCACCCCTTCACTATTTTCCTACCACATCTTGTTACTCATTTATTCTTTTCTTCTTAATCTTTGCCTTTTATCTGTGCTGTATGAAGAATTGTTATGAAAAGTGTCTGTGAAATATATTAACATATATTATGTGGATGTTCAAAAAAAAAAAATAATAATGAAGTTTAATATGTCTTACTTTTTCCTTTTTTCATTTTCACTTACTATTTGTATACCTCTGTCTTTCTCAATTTTCTACTGTATGAATATCGTGCCAAAAATTAAAGAAGAATTTAAAAAATCGAAATCGATTTTAGTACAGTTGAGCATAGTCGGATTCGGGGAATTTTTTTTTAAATTAAAATTTATTTTTTTATTTTTTGTTTGGTAAATTTTATTGTTACACTATAGGATGATTTCCAAAATCCCCGTCCATTACAAAACTTTTTAAAAAATATATGTATAAAAAACATGCCAAAAAAAAAAGAAGAAAAATATGTGGCGGAAATCATAATAGTCAATTGTTTCATAGGGTTTGTAATATTAAATATAAATATATATTATATAGTTACGAGATTGTTGTGCTTGGGTATTTGTACTCAACATTAATATTGTTTATGTAAGTATGAAAGGCTATATTTTAGCTTCAAGTGATTTAGAGGTCCAGACCTTTAAATCCAGTAATTAACTAACATATATATATATATAAATATAAATAAAGATAATTTTTTATGTATTAATGATGAAGAAAAGTAGATGCTGTAAAAAGAATGAAATCACAAGTAACAATGATGGGGTAAAACTGTTATTGTGCCAAATTTTAAATCCCTGCACCTTTTTTGTGAGCTTTGTGAATAAGTATAAACCTTTTTTAGCATTGGAAGTCATTATAATAATATTAATGTGTACTTTTTAAGAAATGTAGAGATAGATCATTAGAAGCATTTATTGTCAAAGCAGAAAACCCTCTAATTAATTATGTTTCTCTTTTTTTTATTATATATTCATAATTATTTTAAAATTCAATTTGTGAGTATGGAGTTGAAAGTGGTAGATACAATAAATTTGCTTTAGGAATAATATTCTGTTTTTCTTTATATTTTCACGTTGAATCTGCTTTAATATTAATTACAAGCATTCTATTTAAAGTAAAACATCTCGTTTCATATTGTACATGGAAATATGTTATGTTCATATTTAGTTTTCCAAATATCTAAATTTTAAGAGCAACTTTGGCTTACTGTTTCTTTGTTTTAATTTATATATATTTATCTTTGAATTGGTATGAAATGTATAGTATATTGTGTCATTTTCACTCCAGCTCATCAAATTAGTTAATCGTGAGATATGGTATATTATATAAAATTTATATCTAAAGAATTGTGTCTAGCACACTAGAGAGCTTACCAAGATTTAATATAATGGAGATAGTTATATGAGGTTATTGATATTGATTAACTAGAAATTAAAAAAATATACACCTTATTTTGGGTGTTGTGAAACATATCAGGAGTGTACAAAATGACTTTCATTTTGCACAGAATATGTTAAACTGGATAAAACACAGTTTTTTATTTATAAATTATTATAACAATAAAAATATTATTAAAATATAAATTCTAATCATGATTACCATTATTTTTTCCTAGTGATTATGTTTATTTTTGACTAGATTAAGCTTTTCTCTAATAAGCCAGATCTGTCATGAATTTAAATAATTCTGTGAATCCTTGATAAATACAGCAGGAGTAACAGCTGTGATTTATTTTTCCCTCAAACTGGTTTAAATTCAGCTATGATTTTTTTAAATAAAATTATATTATGTTTTAAGATTTAGAAAAATGAATTCTTATCCATTGATTTGAGAACCAAAGTAACTTACATGTTTTAAGGTTTCATAATATATTTAAGTTATGCCTACTTGAGGATATTTTATTTAATAATGTATTAAAATTGGTTGTCCATCAATGATGTTAATTATGTTGAGGAAACCAGAAAGTAAAAATAAATAACTTGTTTTATATCCTTATAGATACAATTTATTACTATCAGGTAAAATGAAGAAAATTGTTTAAAAATATAAGTTAAAATAACAACTGACAAGAAATATAAATCACATGTGATTAATACTTCTAAAATTAATGAAGAAATAATTTATAAGCATAATCTCAAGCGGAGAAAAAGATTATAAGATAACAAAACAATCAGTAATGTTTATTATATGTCTTGATACCAAATATTTATTATTTAAAAATATTATCATCAGTTTACGAGTTAGTAAAAAATGATAAGCTAAATAGAAATATGAAAAACAAAATATTTTTGCCTACAAAAAATTGTTTTTTTAGTGATGCATAAGGTACCATGTTTGATTTCATAAAGTTTAAATTCTGCCTTTTGAATGACTGACAAAAAGTTAATATATATATTATATTTATACTGTGGTACAAGTACTTGAAGTTACTGTGGTACAATTTCACTTGTGGGTCTTATGATTTTTTTTTATATTTGTTCTAAATACTTGTCTTTTCTCTGTTCCCCTATCTCCCCAATTATGAAATATGGGGGAATAGAGAGGATTATCTATTCTACAGGCAACAAACCTATTCTAACCAGATTGGTAAGGTGAAGATGTATTCACTTCAATAAATATTTTTAAAAACTCATCACTTAAGCTCATAGCAGTTAAATGTATCCTAAAAATTATCTGGGCTATCCACCCACCTCCATTCTCTCCAGTTAAGTGAATTTTTTTGAAGTATAGTACCTATTGAAAATCAATTAT